TCACTGGTCCTCATATGTGGGATCTGAACCGGGGCCCTCTGGTGTCCCAAACCAGTTCTTAACCATCGTGCCACTCGGCCGGCCCTCAAATGATTTTTCTATTGGGGGTGTGGGGGGGTTATTCCAATGTACCCTCATGAGGGAGCTCAGGTGTTCTAGATACCCATACCTTAGACCACAAGGTTTCATGTTGCAGCTTGCCTGTAGGTCCACTGTGGCCCTTCTGAGACCCATTGTTCAGGATTATTACCTCAACTCCCAGTAGAGAGTAAGAGGACTTCTTCCCCTATTCCTGACTGAAGGATGGGAATGATGGTCTGCCTTTGCTAGTAAGAGAACAGATAACTGTGCATCATCTCACTCCACCTGACCTCCGGCCCAGACTTCTGTGTAGCAGTGATTGTTTCCAATCAAACTGGCTGTGTGACCTGCGTGATATCTCATAGTTCTATAGAGTTCCACCCTAGATGGTTCAATATCAACCAGTCAGTGAGGAATGACCTGAGAAACCAAGGTCAGCTACAAAAACAAGACAATGGTCAAATATAGACCCCTTGCAATTTATTTACTAGAAAACAGCTATATACCCTAAGGCAAGGAAGGGCTACTGAGCACTATCTGAGAAACCAAGGTCCAAGAGTAAAACCACCTTCGATATGTCACCCCTTGGATTGTGACAGCTTACAAGCCTAAATTCAGATGCACAGTGGAGACGTTTGAAGCCAATGGCATGGGAACATGAAGGGCATTCTAAGGAATCAAACATACTTTCCCTGAGTGCACAAGTGGGTGATGGTGTCTGGCTGTCCCACATTCTCTGTTTTCATGACCTCCAAAGTTTTTACCTCTTCCCATTAACTCTTCTTTTTTATAGGACATCATCTAGGCGTTGAGCTCCAGTTTTACCTACGCAAGATCAACAGTAATGTTGAGTACTTGAAAAAATATATTGAACAGAAGAAAGCAAAGAGAAAAAGCCAGGATTGATGAGCTAGTACAGGAAGAGTTGGCTTTTCCCTGAGCCCACTCCCTGCCCTGAATCTGAAAAACCCTGTGTGTCCGGGTCACAACTCTCCCTGAGGCACCTGTTGAGTTTCTGATTAAAACAGGGGAAACCATCATCTACAAAAGGAGGTGAGATGGTTTGAATGTATGAGAAGGCACTTGAGTTGGACAACCCAAAGGAAATGGGTTGGAATAGGAATTTAATGATCCTCCTGTCAAATCACGCATGTTGATCTTTCTAAATTATAAATCAGCCTAAACTTCCCTGTAGCAGTTAGATGTAATAAATAACTTTGGAAATTTGTCATTTGAATTTTTCTCCTTTCTATTCCTGTATGCCACTTCAAAGATCCCTTCCTTGCCTTTTCCCTGAGGAATCCAGGTGATGGGATAGAGATCAAGGTGGGAGGGATTTCCAGGACCAAGGTTAAGAAAAAGGAAAGACATCCTTGCATTGAGAACTTGTCAATGGGGAGGTTTGGAGCAGCGATCATGCCCTGTGAATACAAGAGAGAAGACCAAGGAGGCAGGCTCCTGGGAGAGCTCGTCTTTGTTAGCAGAATGGTGACTGGCCTCATTGTCACCAGACCCAGGTTCAAGTGCTCATTCTACCATTTACTAGTCATATGGGATAATAAAATAACCTGTCTTTTAAGGCTGTGGTCGAGTTAAATAAGACAAGGTTGGGAAGTACCCCGTAGAATGGCCGTTATTTTTATTGGTCAGTTATGTGCACCCACCCTTCAACTTCCCCCTCCTCTCTGATTGAGTTCACCCTCATTCTTTGGAATTCCTGTATCTGCTGTCATTTCTACCTTTGCTCGCCCATGTTGTTATTCATCATATGCAAAGCACTTTCACATCTGACTTCATTTACCCCTCAAGGCAATCCTCAATAAAGCTGCATATCCTCAGTTTATAGAAAAGATACCAAGAGGCAGAAAGGCCAGTTGACTCACCCAAGACCTCCCAGGTAGTAGAAAAATAAAGCCAACATTGGAACCTAAGTCTTCTGTAGCCAAGCTGTTTTAACTACAAAAGTCTTCCTTTTCACTTACCCAACAAGCTTCTGTAAAGCACCTGCTATGTGCCAGACGTGAGGCTAAGTACTGGGGTACAGAGATGGGGGAGGGCGGGTTCCTATACTGTCGTAGCTCAAGTCCAGTGAGTGGGACAGACATTTATATAACCAACCATCCATTTTGAATACCTACATTTTTGTATTTGAAAATGGTTTATTATTAAGAAATATAAATAAATAACCAACCGCCCTACCATACGGAGAACAACTGTTTAAAACCTCCACAGAGGGGCTGGTGCTTGGCCTGGGATTGGAAGGCTGAAAAAGAGCCCACCTGGTGAGCCAGTAAGGGGTAGGGGGTGTGTGGGGGGCACTACAGGCTGAAGGACTATCACTGCTGATGGGAAAACACCGGGGGAAGTGAGAGTAGTTGGGTGTGGCCAGAGGACCAGGTTCAAGGGAACTGGCAGTGAAAGGGAGGGTGTGGTGGCGGGGAGGTCAGGCATCACTAGTTCTTTCTGTGCTATTCAAGGGTTTTGGATTTTATCCTGTGGATGATGGGCAGCTACTGCAGGGCTTTCAACAGGGGAATGGCCTGATGACGTGATAAGATTTATTCTTTCAACCTGAAATGAGCATCTATGAAGAACTGGAGGTGGAACAGTAAACAATATAGCCAAGAAGCTTATGTTCCTGACATGGGGGGAGAGATGCTATAAACAAGTAAATAAAGATGTGAACAAACAGGGTTACACATGCCCATATGTGCTTGAAAACAAAGGAAAAAGAAACCCAAACTATTTATAACGATTACTTAAAAGGGGGAGGCAGGGGAAAGGGTGGAGGATGAGGCTGAAAGATGGATTTTTCTGGATACATCCTATTTGGTAGTTTTGGCTTCGGAACCTTGGGTTTTATGTAACTATAAAACAAAATTAAATTTAGAAGACTTTTTAAAATCCCTAAAACTTAAGATGACTTTAAATATAAAAACATAGTAAAATGATTTAACAATTGTACATTGGGCTGGTGGGCATAAACACAGAAGAATTTTTCCTAGTTATTTTAAACATGGTATATTTACCATCATACCTAGTGGGGTATATCCTAAGGACAAAGAATTCCTAAACAGTACTTAGGAATCTTGTCAGTAATAACATTGGTATCATTAATTTGATGCTGTGTGTGTGTAATCACTATACTATATTACTATATATGCATAAATAATTATGTTTATATCCTTAGTAACAAGATTTTCACCCTGGAAAAAAAAATCCCAGGATCCAAATATAAAATCAAAACAGCTTAGTTAAAAACCCCAATAATCGTAAATTTGAATGGCAATGTCAGCATGCATTTCTAAATTCTTTTTCTCTAAGAAGCATGTATTTCCTAGCTCTGTCCACCTTTCAGGTGTAGAAACAACAGTGACCCTGTAGCAATGAACACCTTCTACCCAGACAGGGGTCTCCCAATACCACTCCCCACTAGGGGAAGCCAGGGCTCCTTAGAGAAATGGCTGGTTCCAGATCTGGGGCAAGGATGACCAACGTGAGCCTGGGATAGCCTTTTAGGCCAGAAAACGAGACATCTAAGATGGCTTGAGTCATGCCCAAAAGACACAGGGGCCAATTTGAAGGGGCTTCTGGGACAACTTAAGCATCAAAAAGAATATCAGAAAAAGACTGCAATGGATTGCAACAAATCAAATACACAGAAAAACATAAGTTCATAATGATACTAAAAAAAAAAAAAAAGAAAGAAAACTCATTAGTCAACTTTGGAAGTTGCTAGGGAAACTATTATCCTGTAAATTTGCAAACCGAACTGGAGAGTCAAGGATTTGTCCTGCCTTTCCTATCCAAATTGTATTTTAGAGAAATCTCATAGTTGGTTGTATTAGTTTCCTGTGGCTGATGTAGCAAATGACCCCAAACTGTGTGGCTTAAAGAAACAGGAACATTTTTTTTTTCACACTTCTAGAAGCCATTGAACTGTTGGCAAGGTCAAGCTCCCTCCAAAGCCTCTAGGAGAGAATCTTTCCTTGTTTCCTTCCAGCTTCTGGAAGCCCCAGGCATCCTTAGCTTGTGGCTGCATCACCCCAACCTCTGCCTGTGTCTGTGTCCCTCTGTCTTTCTCTCATAACCTTTGTCATTGAATTTAGGGCTAACCCAGATAATCCAGGACAATCTCATCTTCAAATCCTTAACTTAATTACATGTGCAAAGAGCCTTTAAAAAAATTAGGTTACATTCACAGTTTCTGGGTGGACATATCTTTTTGGGGCACCACCATTCAACCCATTTCAGTTGGTGAATGGAAGTTCTTCTAGGAGCAATTCCAGCTAGTAAATTCAAAAGGAATCATTTTGCAACTTAAATGAAATAATGGACCCAGGTGATGATCGTCATTGGTTCCTAACACCAGTGGATAGAAAGTTGATGCGGCCTTTACACAATGGGTGGATCAGCCTGACCGCCTTTAGAGAAAGTGAGCAGTGTCTGATGAGCAGAAGCTGATGATATTCTGTGCCTCTTGGAGGACACAGCACTGCCAATAAAGACTAGTTGCAAAAGAAAACAAATTGGACCCGGAATCTAATTGAGCCTTTCGCTATAATAGGCCATTTTCAGGAAATTCAGGAGCTGGAAGAATGCATATTCACCAAGGAGTTATAAGTTCCATGATGAGGTTTTTCCACAATAAACTCCAAGTACTTAAGAAGAGTATCCGGAGAGATCCAATGTGGCAGAGTAGATAAACATTGTGCCTACTTCCTTCTGTGAACAAATTAAAATTACAGCTAAGTTACAAAACAATCAACCTGGAGAGCCCTCTGAAGTCTGGCTGGACAGAAGTTTTATAACTAAGGATATAAAGAAGAGGCCACGGCAAGACTGGCAGGAGAGGCAGAGATGCAGAACTGACAGACCCCAAACTTCTGTGTGGCATTTGAGAACCGGGAGAGAGACCTCAGCTGTGAAGTTTCTCCCAAGAGGAGCGAGGGACCACCATCTCCCACACCAGGCTCTCCAGCCTGCAGTACTGCTGCCGGGCAGAGGAGCCCCCACAACATCTGGCTGTGAAAAACAGTGGGGATTTTTACCATCTGGGTGGGACAGAAGGCAGCAAGAAACCCAGCCATCCTTTTAAAGGGCCCATGCACAGACTCTCTCAGTCGCAGGCACTCATGTTGGGCTCCAGAGGAGGGACCATAATTCAGGGGGTGTCAGGGATATACGGGGGCAGGTTGAGTTCTGTGGTTTTGGGACAAGGGCTGGAGGATAGTCAGCATTTTCCCTGTGGGGTCCTCCTCTTGTGCAGTCGGCAGGCAGGTGTCATCTTTCCTGTGTTGAGCCTGCCTCCTATGCTTACAGTCAAATCTGAATCAGTGAGCGCCTCAGCTCTGCCCTACTGACTCACTGGGACTCCATCACACCCACTCCCTCAACACCGGAGGTACTTTCTCCAACAGCAGCCAGCCCTGCCCACATTGCACCTTTTCTTGGAAAACTATTAGTGTCCAACAGACCCCCGGTGGGCAAAGACTTTTGCTGAGCAGCTTCAGGCTCAGCACTAGCACCAAACCAGAATTTACATTAACCTGGTGACCACGGCTCTTCCCACTCTAGTGACTCCCTAAGACCCCACCTCACCCAACTTGCATACCACACGAGGCTTTACCAGTGCCTAAACTTTAAGGGAGTTCACAGATGGCAGCCGGCCTTGGGGTGTTCCGGCTTTTTGCAGAGCTACCCCAGACCCGGTACTGGTGGCAGATGTTCTCAGTTTGCAGCGTGGCCTTTACTACGTGCCTCCAGGTTTAGCACAGGCAGCGAACAAGTATGGACTGCTTTTTAGCTCCTCCTAGATAGTCCCTATTCAGTCACAGGCAGTGGCTTATCTGGGCCTGCACCAGAGCCCTCCCAAGAGGCCCAAGGACAAACATATTTGGAGGTTGGCTTCAGACCCCAGCAGAGCAATGCCCAATTAGCCCCACAAGCAGCACACCCAAAGGGTGATCTCAACAGCATCAGAGCCAGCTGGGGTGAAACCCACTCAGTGGGGTAAGCCTCCTGTAAAGCAGCCTATAAGCTGTGGACATGGGCAAACCCACAGCCAATCAACCTAAGGGACAATCCCTCCCAAAGATGTGCCAATAGTAACCAAGGCTCAACTATAACAAGAGGGCACACAGAACCCACACAAGGGACACTCCTATAGCACCTGGT